TTTACAAAGGTCAAACAGATTAAACAATTATTTGAACCGTTTTGCAAATACATAACATAGCACTATATCATTTTATCAAGAATTTCTTTCTACAGTGATAACACAGCACAAATGTTGTCCTCATCTCAAGCTCCTTTACTAAATGTCTCTCCTTGCAGAGTAAATTTACTGTCCCTTTGCACCCTCCTGTGTCTGATGACTTGATAAGTGGTCTTAAAATTAATTTCAGCACCAAAGCTTTCATCTCTCATGCTCCTCTCTCCTGTCCTCCTCTGTTTTCATGGGTGAAATAGTTTGAGATTGCTAGCAGTGGCAGTACAGCATGATGAAAATGGGAGGCAAAAACTATGCTCACATCATACTGTAGGTGGGAGGAGGTGATTGCTCTGTTAATGTTTCTGTGATGCAGCTGGTGTCGGGTGCTGAAGGACTGCGCAGATCAGTTGGCAGGGGTCTTCACCAAGATCTTCAATCGGTCCTTACACCAGTCTATTGTCCCACCTTGCCTCAAGTCTTCAACCATTGTCCCTCTGCCCAAAAAATCTACAAGCACCAGCCCTAAGGATTATAGACCAGTCGCACTCACCCCGGTTATCATGAAGTGTTTTGAGAAACTGGTACGCAGTCATATCACCTCATGTCTTCCATCTACACTGGATAGCCACCAGTTTGCATACCGGGCAAATAGATCTACAGAGGACGCTATTAACACCACTCTCCATACTGCTCTGTCTCATTTGGAGCAGCCGGGGAGCTATGTGAGGCTGTTGTTTGTGGATTTTAGTTCCGCTTTTAACACCATCCTTCCTCACAGACTAGTGTCCAAACTACAGGCTCTTGAACTTTCCAGCTCCATATGCCTGTGGATTTTGGATTTTTTTAATGCCCACCCGCAGAGGGTTAGAGTAGGTCCTTATATGTCGACTGTCCTCACCCTCAGTACCGGCTCCCCACAGGGCTGTGTGCTGAGTCCCCTGCTCTATACCCTCTATACACAAGACTGTACCCCTACCCACCCCAGCAATACCATCATTAAGTTCGCTGATGACACTACTGTGGTGGGGCTTATCTCAAGGAACGATGAGTCCGCCTACAGGGATGAGGTAGAGCGGCTTTGTGACTGGTGTCAGGAAAACAACTTGATCCTCAACACCGCCAAGACCAAGGAACTGGTAGTGGACTTTAGGAGGAATAAAATGGACATTAAGCCACTGTTCATCGATGGAGAGCAGGTGGAGAGGATGGCCGTCTTTAGGTTCTTGGGTGTTACCTTTGAGCAGCACCTGACTTGGGGCGCAAATACCACTGCTTTGATGAAGAAGGCCCAGCAGAGATTGTATTTTCTCAGTCTTTTGAAGAAAAATAATTTGAATGAGAACTTGCTGGTGTCCTTCTATCACTGTTTATTAACCCAGAGAGCTAGCTAGCATGCTAGTAGCATGCCATGCTAACAAAAGTGCTGTCTGAGCCACTAAATAATCATACAACCTTAACCTGAATTTAGTAATCCAGCAAAGAAACTAGCCAAGCCTCTCTTCGCCAACTTATATTGACAGGCCACATACAAGCTTAAAGAATCATGAGTTAATACTACAGGTTCTGCACTTACCTGTCTTGCCTCAGTGACTCACCTTGCTTCTTATCCATAAGTGGAAGTGCCTGCTGCGTCAACCATGTTTTTCATTCCCTGCTTTGGCTGGGCCAAGCCCATAGGAACAGTGCTGAACTGTTAAGCATATTTAGTGTAATGGCCAAATCATGTTATTGCAACTTTCATGTTCAGCACATGACACACACCGGTCCAAAAAGCATTTTCCCCATGGACAATCATTGGAAAAGGAGCAGCTGTAAAATGGTGAGAATATTTTGCTAACAAACAAACCCTGTGAGATGACATTCTATTATCAGAGCTTGATCTTCATCTCTGCTAGTGAAGGAAATGATCTTAAAATACCCACAATATAAAACTGAGATGGAAGATGTAAACATATGTTTTAGATGTTTTCTCCTTCCTCTAGTGCCATAAAAAAATTAATTACCCAAACTAAAGGACTGTCACCATGCTACATTTCCAAGGCTTAGTAAAGTCTTTTGTACTCCCATGTGGCCCTTGAGAATAAATATTATGAACTTTTTTAAATTGTTAAAACACTATATAATAGCTAGCTGTTGACATCCGTAAAACAATGGTCAATAAAGGTTGGAGTAGACTGGTATTTAGTTGATATTTGATCTTGACATATAGAGACAAATTTGTTCCACAAGTTTGAGAGAGCAGAGAAATGATTCAACAAAATTTGCTTTGTTATTCGTCAGCTGTACTTAAAATGCAGGAACAAAAACAGTGCAGTACAAATATGTAAATCGTTTTGCAATCCAGATGTTGAAAGATAACACTTGTTCTTCTTCTGGTTGGAAAAAACCAACAAAGATAATTTCATGTACTTCTGTGTCTGATGAAAACTGCTGACTCAAACTTCTGAACAGAACTATAGAAGTGTTTGATCAAATCCTATCAAAGTGACAAAATGCCTGTTATTCTTGTTTTAATGGAATAAAAATCTGTCAGTGGTTTTCAAGAAGTGCAAGCAAAATAATAAATTCCAGTTGTGTGTATGACTGGATCCTTTGGTATTTGTCTCAGTACTACACTAACATATTGTATAATTATCACAAAGATGAACACAAACATGATATTCTACTAGTTTATTTAACAAAATGTGCGCCATAACAATCTTAATACTTTCTGTTATTTGTCATTTGCTATTGTATTTAATTTTTTTCACCAGCTGCCAAAAATAGGAAGTTATTTTTATATTGCACATGGCACTGGACAAAACGGATTTTTCGATTCGCCCTGTTGACTCCACAGTAGAAGAAATCTGATTGGCTTTTTGCTGTGGAGGGTGTGCAATAAAAAGGGATGTGGCATAAGTAGTAAAAACAGGCTCAACAAGTTTAAACAACTGATACCTTTGTCAGACCCACAAAGTGATTCTCTTGTCATCCCTACTGTAACCAGGAACTTAGCAGAGCATATGGAGACAAATAGCAAAGAAACACTTCAAGCAGACTTTGATGCATTTGATATTTCTGAGGAGCTTGGATTTCTACTTGAAGAGCCACTGGTAAGTTTAATTGTCATCTTTTCATTTCATTTACAGTTAAGTTATTATTGAACCTTGCATGACTGTGTCAGCTCATTGACCACTACTGTACATTAAAGATTTTAAAACATGTAAAATACCAAATTTGGATATTCCTGTCATGTTTTTTTGAGACATTTAGTAGAAATAATTTAGTACATATATTTTTACAGTTTATACTATGGAAAATGAGTAAACAACCTGTAATTGATTTGAAAAGGTAACCCAGCACTGACATTGATTATAAAATTATATTGGCGATAAGCCTACTTGTCTGTTTATATAGTGACCATCTGGGCATCCACTGATTTCTGCTTGGCAAATTTTTTCAGGTTTCTGTTGCTTCTTCTTTCACTGATGGATAACACCAGTCATAGTCTGACATGTAGGTCAGGCACCATGGCAGGCATGACCTGATTATGTTACTGATTACACTCTTAAAAAAAATCTTATATTGTCTAGACTACCCTTCCAGACTATTATAGGGTGTGGATGGATCTGGCAAATAATCTCACACATCTGATAGAGTCACGCAAACTACGGGATCTGGTTCATAAGGTGAGAATGAGCAAAGTCTTTGTAATATTAAGTGCAATCAAAGTTGAGAATCTGTGCAAGTAAATGTGGACATACAGTTTAATTTGCTGTTCCTGAAAATGGAATTATAAAAACAGAAAATGTATACTTTATTTGTCACAATCCAGATGCCAGTCTTGAGTCCTCATTTCCTGAGCGGTCATCGGGAGCTCAGGCTGGCTCATCTAGCACTGGGGTTCATCAGCATGGGTTATGTATGGCAGGAAGGTCAACATGCACCTGCTCAGGTAAAACACTATAGAGCTAAATTATGTATTTCGATCAACGTTGATCTTGAAATTAATGCTACACACTATACTTAGGCACAATGATGTTCACCATCTTTATCTATCTTGTTAACATGCTCACCTTTGTGAATATGTACTAAACACTAAAAAGTATAGCTGATTGGAACGTTATTAGTTTTGCTAATTGAAATGTTGATGCAAAGAAGGGCACTAAAATGAAAAGAAGTGGTAGTGGGGGTGGGGTGACTCAACAAGGCAGCACTGGATTGGAAGTTAACCATTATGGTTGTTTGGCAGATTCTCCCAAAAACCTTGGCCTTGCCCTACTGGCAGATATCTCACAGGCTTGGACTTCCACCCATCCTAACTTATGCAGATTCTGTTTTAGCCAACTGGAAATTAAGGAATCCCACAGGGTGAGTATTTTGTTGCCTTATTTCATATCTTGACTTAGTCCTTAGTCCACATACCCTCCATTTTATAGCAGTAACCTTAGAATAAAATGTTTAACCTGCAGTCACTCACTTAGAAAGATAGCTACAATTGGTATTGTTGTCTCCACTGATAACACTCATTTTCATTTTCATTTTCATTTTAGGGATATGGAAATTGGGTGAGTACAAGGAAAACACATCATTCACTTCTACATCTTCACATGACTGCAATAGTCTCATACTCATGTGATCTTGTACTCATATACATTGTATGGTACTTTCATAATATCAATTTCTAAACTAGGAACATGGACTTGATATTTTCCTTCCCTGGTGGTGAAAGCTGCCGGGGATTTTTCATTGTGTCATTGCTGGTCGAGATGGCTGCAAGTTCTGGCATTATGGTTAGTAGTGGGTGCTGCTACCGTGTGTTCCTTCCTTTTTGTGTCCCATCCATATACTGTGGGTGTCCTTGCTACTTGTCACTTAGTGATGGATTTTAAACTTTCAACTCTAACCAGGGAACTCTGGAGGTGATGCATGCTATGAAAGTCTCTGACCTCGTCGGCATGCAGAAAGGTCTTATCAAAGTAACTCAGTCTTTGAAGAAGATGAAGGAAACTTTCATACTCATGCATAGTAAGTATACATTAAACTTAGCTCAGTCTGAATTTAATAAATTTCCATGCTGTGCCTCTAATGAAGGGAAGACAATTCAAGGCAATTAAAATAAGTTGTGCTCTTTCTAGAACATGTCGATCCAACTGCATTTCATGGAACATTGAGAATTTTTGTCTCTGGGTGAGTTTAAGGGCTATTACAATGTCCTGCATACTGAAGTTATTAATGCTTTTAATAATTTACTCATCTGGTGCACATTTTCACTCTAAAACATCCCCTCTGTTGCCACTTTTTGTTACGCTTTGTTTAACTGAGTAGCTTATAAAATTGTACCACGTGCTTCTTATTGTATTATATGTACTTCTTGAAATGCATGTGGTTTGAACTGTTTCAGGTGGCGAGACAACCCCATGCTTCCAAGGGGGCTGTTGTATGAAGGTGTGAGCAATGAGCCCATTTTGTTATCAGGTGGCAGTGCAGCACAGAGTTCCGCCATTCAGTGCTTTGATGCTTTGCTGTGTATCCAACATGAAGCAGAGACAGGTAAAGATGCTTTTTTTTGCATCCTTGACCCCCTCTGATGCTTCTTATGAATGACTCAGTCTACTTGTGCAGAAAATGTTTTCAAAAATGCTATTTTTTTCAGTTTCTGTTCAGTTCTCTTCATTGATTAACCCTGTTTAGGAGCCTTCTTGACACGCATGAGGGATTACATGCTTCCTGCCCATCGTCAGCTGATAGAAATGCTGTCTGCCCGTCCTCTTCTGAGGCACTTCATCCTCTCCTGCTCTAGCTCTGATCTCTGCCAGGCCTACAACTCCTGTATCTCAGCCCTGGTGGAATTACGGAGCTACCACCTCAATACTGTGACCAAATACATCACTGTTCCTGGGAACCGTGCCCTCAACATGGGCTGCCCCCTCAGAGGTGTGGGCACTGCGCTGAACACAACAGGGACTGGCGGATCCAGCCTCATGGTCTTCCTCAAGAATGTTCGTAACACAACGCAAAAAGCACTGATCTTAGAGAGGCCATCTGCATCAAGAGAAGCTGAAACATAATTTATACCATACTGTATATTGTACAATGTGCAATATCCAACACCTTCTTATGCTCTACAACCCTGAAGTTGTATTTATAAATGGTGTATTAAAAAAAGAATGAAAAAGACAAACACAGTGATAGTTATCAGGTGAGAGAGCGTAATGTGGGATCAGATCACTCAGTTTGCTGGACTGGAACCCCTACACCCCTCCTAGTCTCGACTTGAAGGTTGTGTCACTTCTTTGCTATTGAGACCTAATCACATTAGAAGGGAGAGGGAGCTCGATTGTACTGCTGCTGAGCCCTGGTCATGGTCCAGCTCTGCTTCACTAAAGCACAAAAGATATAAAATATGAACTGTTTGACACAGTCAGGACAGCTCTGGCTGTAACTACACCCAGCACTGGTGCTGCCAGCACTTAGACATAGGAGCATGCTGACTCACCTTCATTTAAAAATGTTTTAATTGTGATGTAGAAACAGTAGAAAAATGCATAATATTGCACATAATCACTAAATTGCACTTTCTCAAGGTACAGATCTTTGTATGGATATTGGTGATAGGAATTATATAATCTAGTCCATGAACTGAAGATGAGAGGCCAGTATGTGTCTTCCTGACATTTCTTGGACATTTAACAGTACCATAATCTACATACAGTAAGCCCTGCTGTTATGAAATTCAGTAAATACCTGCTTTGTAACAACATGCAAGTTCAGTGTCATTGCTACATAATTAATGTAACATCTTTTAAAAAGTTTTGTTTGTACTTAACCAAAGCTGGTGGCTACAGGTCTTCTCTGTTGTAAGACTGCTACCATATTCCTTTAGCACTTTACAGTATATAGCCCTTCTACTCTTTTAAGTTCATACCATAGTTGTTTGTGTGTGTTGGTAGACAGGTGTTTGGTGCTCTGTAATTGTTTTTTGCAGAAAAAAGTTCAATTTTACAAGATGAGGCTTGCAGTTGAATGACATTATGAATCAATATCACAAAAAAAACTAACTGGACATGAAACAAGCCAACTTAAAAACAGATTTTGCATCTGAGCTATGCTGTAACACACTGGGTGATTGAGAGGCACAGCAAGCTCTTAATGGGCTGAAAGAGAAGGAAAAAGTTTGTTATCATAGAAAATACTCTGCCTTAGAAGTAATGAAAGGGCCCACACATATATAGGGTATTTTAAAATGCCATTTCACAAAACACTGATAAAAAGAATATAGACTTTGAACATTATATGTCATTGTAGGCAACGGAAGAGGAGAGGATAACAGAGGGAAAGGAGGCTGGCTAGCTGGTTGTTCACACAATGAGCTAAGTAGAAAGAGAGAAATAAAGGGACCAAGTTACAAAGAGAGGGAGGACATAGGAGTTATTAACAAAGGCAGGCAGACGTTCAGTCAGGCAGACCAATTGAGCAGGATGTTAACAAGAAGAGGAGAGAACAGATAGGGTTGAGGAACAGCAGTGACATACTGTCATGTACTTTACTGTCTTTCAGTCTTTTACGCATGTTTCTCTCAATAGTCAAATGTTTGTGCTTTGCCGGAGGTGGGGCTGATGTCCATTCAAAGAATACAGCTTCACTCATAAAAAGCCCTCCACACAGTGCTTCCTGTCGTTGCCAAGCAATATGCTCTGAGGAGAAAAACACCACCAGTGCATTGCATTGGAGGCTGCAATCAAAAAAGGTAAATATAAATTGAGAAGTGCATTTAACCAGTATATAAATAACACCCAACTTTACATGGCTTAAAAATATATGTACAGTACAAAAATGTGTTCCAAAGCTCACCTAGTTTTTGCAGGTGTGTGTCAGTCCTCTCCAGCACCACGCCAGAAAAAGGTTTGACACATTTAAAAATGTTTGTCTCTGCTGTCTCTCAGCTGACTTGATGTGTCTCAGTTCAGAAACCTCAAATGAAGTGGTTTCGGTTGTTAGCCGTTCTCAAGGGATGGTCCCTTTGAGTATTCCTTCATTCATTTTGAGAATAACAGGGGTAATAATGTGCCCAGTAAAAAGGCTGTTTCCACAGCTTTCAAATTTTATTCAAAGGAACCAGAGTTTCCAACGAGCATGTTTTTTGGACTCTGTCTTGGACTTGCATTTTGGGGTGGATGTGAACACTTCATTAGAGTAAGGCAGAGCAGAGCATTGTTGGCTATACAGAGGGCAAAGTCTCTTCATCAGGGGCTGGAGCTTGTCCTCTTGCTGCTTGAAGTCCAGCTCAACACTGCAGCACAAACACATGAGGTAGAATTTAGGAATATTTACATTATTTAGTTCACATGTAGTTAGAGTTTATGAACTTGATCACATTTCTTGACTGACAGGTTTATAAAGTTAGTAGTTGTCTTTTGGCTATAACATTTATAACTCAGCTTTTAAATTAGTTAATAATCCACTGATGTCCAGATGGAGGCTGGGAGGAAGGCAAATTGCTCAACTCCACTGACAGACACCCTGGCAGCACATATTTCTTGTGGCACATATCCATTTCAGAAACTCCTTGGAGTAATAGAGTTCCTTTGCAACATCTCTGTATTTTTTATGCAGGGAGTCCAAGGGCTTTTCCTGCATAGATTATATTTGCATGAAAAAAAGAGCCAGAATGTGTGTTGCTACTGACATTAGACTTCCACATGTGCCCGTGTAATCCCAGGCTGGTCATCATCTGATTTCATTCCTCCACCAAACTCCCTCTTCGATTAAATCTCTCAGGCCTGGGAGAAATGTGGGACTTAATTCCATCTAAATGAAACCATTGAGTGGCCAAGCACACACTGATTAACTGCCAGTATTCAAGCAAGGGATAAATGCACTAATATGCCATCTCTTTTCACTTTATTGCTATTGATCTGTAGTGCTCGGTTAATGTATTTATTCCTTAGATATTCAATACATTTTGAAAGCATCATAGTAGAACTAAAAGAGAATGAATAATTTGCAATGAGCCAACCAAAACGATGGTCCTCACCAAACCTTACCTGATTTTTTTATGTATTGAACAGTGACTATTTGTGTCATTCAAAAACTAGAGGAAAGGAAGAACTGAAGCTGCCAAAAGTGATGACATCTGACATGTGAAGTTCAAACATGCAGTCCACTTATTGTCTGCATGAAGACAATCAGACTTTAAAGTACCAAACTGCCAGACAGGATAGCCACTTTGATGGGCAATGTAATTAGTTGGCTGAAAGATATGCTACACTTAACTGACACTTATCTTAAGGGTAAGGACAGTTTCCGGGATTCATTATGTCACTTTACGAACAGAGCTTTGTAACAGCCTTCAGGGAAGAAATGGGATGGAGGGCTGGGTAGTACAGTAGGTTGGCAGGCTGTGACATCCAATGAATCAATATGTTAGATTAAAGCAAGTGAAAAATGCATAGCAGCCTGAGTTTTTGGCTTCTTGAAACTTAAAATCATTACTTATAAAAAAGGATTTCTAAGCATGGTTTGTTGCATAGTGCTTTGCTTGTTCTTTATTTTCTTCTGTACATAAAAAAAACAACTTCCACTTCAAGTAAAAGTTTGTCCAGGTCTTCTGAATCCCTGATAAATGAGAAACTCCGTTTTTAGTACAGATTGAGGCCTTTATGCTGGCAGAATTGATGCTTCTTGCAGTATGTTCTGAACTTGTTCAAAACTTACTTTTATTGCTATTATGCATTGTTTCATTTCCCTTTGATTCTCTCTCTATTGGAATCTTCTGGTTAATATTAAAATCTTTGTATCTTTTACAAGGGCTGTTAAATATTGTTGACTTGACAGAAACCAGAGCAGAATCACAGCAGCAAAGTGAAACACTGAGTAGCTTCAGCAATTATTAAGCAATTAATCACTTGGTAGATCGCTGCAATTACTATACGCTGTAGACAAATGACTCAGTGTAAGCCAAAGGCAGCTATGTATGGTACGAGTGGCACCGGGGAGCAGGTGCTTAAACAAACAAAAGCCCTATATCTAAGATCATCTTTGTACCCAAACAGACTGAAGCAGCTGGAGACAGGGAGGCTTTCTGGGGCATTCAGTAAAGCAGATTAATCATCTCTTTAGCTATGCACTATGAGTAGCTGTGGCTGTGATCAGTGGTGAGCCGTTTGTCTCTGGTCGTGGTGTGCCAAGGACCATTCAATGATTGTTGCTGATGGGAGGGATTTCGCCGCTGTGAAATGTCTTTTTAGTTCAGCATGCTCTGTTCATTCAGCAGTGTGTACCTGCTCGCTTCTGTTCTCTGTTCTTTCTGCTACGGGCACCATTCAACAAAAAGTTGCTTCTCCTCCTGTGAGTTCCCTTTTGGTCATTTACAGTTCAAACCCTTCACTTGACAAGATGAGCGCTTCAGGCCTATAGCACAGAACTACATGATGGGGCATAGTAGATTAAATCACCAGAGAGTGACAGTTATTTCCACCACTCAAAAGGAACAGTTGAAGCAGAAACTTCCCACAAGCTATGTAAATCAAATGCAGAAATTCTTCCCCATCATGTACAGTATATCAAATATAAAAGCCATTGCTGTTGTCTGTTACATGGTTTTTCACTTCACACACACATACACACACACACACACACACACACACAAACACACACACACACACACACAGAGAAACCCAATCTCATTATTAAGAGCAAAACAGAATAGGCAATCTTGACAATTATTCACCAAAACAACCACAGCTCCTCCATCCCAGCATGGGATACAAGTGCTAATTATCTCCTTGCATCTCATTATATTGCTTTACAGTTGCATTGTTTCATTGTCATTGTTAGTTCCAAAGTGGAAGCACTACATTGTGAAAGATTTATTCAGCAAAGCAGGGTGGGAATTAGAGCCTTTAATGCTTTGATCTGAACATGTTCTTATAAACTGGGCTTTCTGATTTTCTCTAGTTTGACTCAGTGCTAAGCCACATACAACAATTTGCATCTGATGCTCTGATAAATCTAGTTTGAACTACACATGTCAAACAATATTGCAAGAAATATGAATAACTTGCTAGCAACTCAGCAGCATGCATGGTTACAATATTTCTCAGGGCTACTTGCTCAGCAATGTACCATTTATTACTCCTTAGCATTTTGTTCTAATGTAAACAACATTTCATTCATAGCCATCCCACCTCTCCCAAAGGTTTTGGGAGAGGTATATTGATTGTGGTTTCCTGATGCCCACAAATCATATGCAATGTCCCAGAAACAGTTTTTAAAGGGAGGTACAGGGATAGCATGCAGATTTCTCTCTGCTTGTGGTAAGTGAACCTAGGAGGTTGAGATGGATGGTACCATCGGTAACTAGGGTGAGATGTCTGCATTCAAAAAAGAAGAAGAAACAAAACGAATGTGGAGAAGGAAAGAAAAGCTCTTTATGCTGGCAGACTTGCTAAATGTCTATATGATGCAACACTGATAATAAGCTACAATAGCCTCTTGCATTTAGGACTTTCTGCAAAAAGGTGCTATTTTGGAATATTTCACTGCTGTTTAAAATTCTATATATAGTGGTTGTAGCAGAAATCCAGAAGACCAAAACATGGGCAAATACAACCCAGAATCTTACAATGTGCACTGCTACATACCACTAGAAGAGAACAGTTTTTTTGTAAAGTGGGTGATGTGGCCTTTTCTTCCAGACATGATGCAGTATCAATATAGTCATTCCCCTATTGTCCATACAGTCAGCCTCTCTCACCCTCTTTTCTACTCACTGTATGCATGTCCTATTTGTTGCAGTGATGAATGAAATTCTGCAGTATACTTAAGGTGGGTGGGGACTGTCAATGAAGAGCAGAAGTCTGGACAAGACACATACTGTAGTTTAACTACCTGAGTGGAACAGCTGCAACAGTCATGAATTTATCTGACACAGGAGATGCTGGACTGCTCTTAAATTAAGGGCTGATAATTTTGGCTACAGCTGCAACACACACTTGCAAACAGTCAACCTTGGAGGGGTAATTGGTCTTTTGGTCCCAACTAACTGTTCTTGGCTGGTTTTAATTTACCTCACTGAGGCCTCCTCATCAAGATGTCACACAAAGTGATTTGTCCAGCATGGCGATTACTGCTGCCCTATAAGCAGTTTAACTCACTGGATTAATAGACTATTATATTAACAAGGTCCAAGGGATGCCGGTGATGGGATCATACACTGGTTTGAGAAATGAGGTAGTTTTATGTAACAAGAAAAAGTACATCTGGTATAAAGAACAGAGACAAAAAAATAAAAAATGCTTTCATTATAATTTTTTTCCCCCCAAAAAACATCATTTTATCTTGGAAGGTTTTTGCACCTGAAGAATACTAAACAGCACTACTTGCAGAATTTAAGAGATTTATGACAATTGCTTTGACAGAGATAGATAGGACTGCGATAGGTTACTACCCTGCTTGCCAACTACTGCTCCGCTCTAGTCAGCGACTGCTAGAAATGGATTGGATGAGCTGAAATAAACAACTATTTAATTATACAGAGCACAGATGAAATGATTATCTTCCACCATGTTAGTACTCTGCAAAGTGCAACTTCATTGTGATTTTATTACCATAGCACATGCTTTGATTTAGTAACAGCAGACTGAAGGCATTTCTTTTGCCATCAGAAAATTGTTCAAAGATTGTTAATTAAGCATAGTCGCTTCATCTTATCAAAATAAGATCAGTGAGACAAAAAAGAGAAACTCAGCTATATTCTTTAGGACTTTTCTTTACTGCTCTGTGCAGTGGGATCCTTGCTTCAGTCGCACAAATTAAATTATGGTTACATCTATAAAGTTTGCCTCTCAGTTCAGTGAAATCCAATGGCACTCCATTGCTCCATTTATCTGCAGTAAGTATTTCTGTATGCTGTATTTCTAAATAGTCTTACATATCCACTCTGCTTATACCCTTATAGTGAGAGTCATGCTTATTTACAGTAATGACAAAACTCAAAAAGAAATCAATGAAAAGGTCTGTTTGATCAATAGGGACACAAATCGATACATACACACTCCAGTATTGTGACTTGAAATCGTCTTCAGTTGACCTGAGTTAAGAGTTGTTCTAAGGAGATGAGGTTAAACTGTACCGAATGAAACCAAGAAGCACCAAAATAGACGATGGTGCTGTCTCCAAATCTAGTCTGATGTTGTTTACTGCTTTGAGGAGAGCTGTCTGTCTCACTTCTCTTGTCCTCTCTTATTTTGTAGCTCAGTGAAGTCCTTGAAACTGAGATGCTCAGATGCTTCGGGAGAGATAATGCATTTGGGAAAGTGATGCAAGAAATGCTATGACTCTATTTGTTTGTTTTTTATTTGGACTACTTGATGACATGTGGCCAGGTTGTTGAGTAGACATAGGAAGAGGGTGACAATTTATCTTCAGTTTGTCTTCTCTTATCACTAACCTTGGCCTTGTTTCTTTAGGAGTGGTCATAAACAGCTAGATGTACTGTTGTAGATTAACAGCTGTGTCCTGGATCTATTAAGGTTATGTCCATCTGTTTAAAAACTTTATTTAGTCCCACAAGGAGAGCCTTCACAGATGGGTAAGCAGACAAGATGACAAGATTTGAAGAATCCTTTTAGTTAGATCACACACTAGGTCATAAGAGAAGCAATAATCTTAAAGCTATTACTGATGGCACATGCCATTGTTTGTAGATTACAGTCCAATTATTTGGTGTTGCTGAGATCTGGTTTTGCCTGCTGACTTGGTTTTTCAGTTGATTCTAAAGAGTGGTGATCTCCATTTTGTCTTAGTGTCCATGGCTGTTGAATCTGATTTTCTGATGGCCACTTTGCTTCAGTCTGTTTCCAGTTTCATGGACTATAGTCCACGGGTCCTTTATGTTTTGCACTGGTGTTGGGGAGTGAGAATAGATGTCACTCTATAGCACTCTGTCTCTTATCCTGTTGTGTTCTTGGAAAGATATTTTGTCAATTTTTGCTTCTACATTACTGTACCTAGGTCGACATCAGACCAAAGCTGCTGTTTTGAGGCACGTGAAGTAAAACATATCTGCTAGAGCAAAGCAGTCCATAACTTACAGTAGATGAAAGGTGCCCAAGGAGACATGGCAATGATTTGCGATAGATCAGAGAATACACTTCTTTATAGGTGATATTATATGGTCAGGTGCAACAAAGAAGGTTCCCAGCAGGAGGATGGTAGTGTACGTATGTATGCATGAAAATGTTCCTTTATATATACACATTATGATTTTATTTTCTTGTTTATTTGTTTGATTTCAGCAACATATTTAAAAAAAACCCTGGTTTGAAAGAGAGATTATCTGTACTGTATATGATTTGGATGACAGTCCTGAACCACTTGGGAATTTTTGCTTTGTAAATATGGGGAAATTCATACATATGACACTGAAAAACAAATCTGTTTTGCAAGTGATGTCACATGAAGAAGTAATTCTGCTTTGGCCTCTTTGGTCTAATATCACAACCTGGGCCAGCTGGACAAGGCTGTATCTTTTCCTATGCAGTAATACATCTCCACAGGTATTTGTCCAGGTCAGTTTAGAATATTCAGAGTGTTATAAATATATACCACCTATCTACAATAATCCAAAAGGACAGCAGAGTAGGATTGGAGAGCCCTTGCTGTCTTTCTGTTAAGAATGTTCTCATTTCTACTGTGTAAAAAGGGAAGCATAAAGCAGAAGTTGGGAAGAAGCTCACCGCAATAAACATATGTTTTCAGAAAGGATGCAAATTTTACATCCGCAATTTGTGATTAGGTGGTTTCTAAACTATGTTTACTCAGACTCTTGTGAAAACCCTAGATAAATTCCAAAGGGTATGTTCTGGGCTTGAGAGTGTTTTCCAAACAGACAC